TGGGCAAATGACCTCTGGCCGATCTCCCTCGCTTGTGCAAGTGTACCTCGCTTAGCTAGCGTTTACAAATGTGCAATTCATCTATTCCCCAAATCACATCCTATATACAAATTTTCCTCGAACTATGACCAATCATCAAAGGTGCATGTTTTCCGGAGATATGTTATTGTTATTGTCAATGCGCACAGCAGGAGGAGGGACAAGCTTTCCACCGACTGACGCGACTGCCCCCCCACAACCACAACCACCTTTTCGTACTAAGTAATCGAAAAGACTCATCATTTGGCAATTTGTAATTAATGTGTATGTAATCGTTCTTTGGGGGGAGAGTTGAAATTCTTGTGGTCTATGCAAATATAGGGCGCCCATATTCCTTTCTTTATGTAGTGTTGCTGTGGGGGGGGCGAGAGTTTTGAGCCAAAGAACCGCGCGTCTAGCGCTAGCTACAGTGGCCGGGCTAGCTGTGTATGTAACAAACACGGGTCGAGCTGCCGCGCTGCGCCGCGGTGGCTGCGCGCACGTATATAACTACTTGCACGTTTGGCGTTGTAGTGGGCGAGTCATACGTCAGAGCGCGTGCGTACCGGTTATTATGAGTCGAGGACACCGGTTACTGGCCCCCCTGCCCCGTTGGTTTTATGCACCAAATCGAGTTACTACCAGAACAGGTTTGCACTTAGCGACATCACCATACCATATCGAATGTACAAGCGCATTATACGAGCTCCATATTGTACATAGCTTCGGATCGATTACTAGTACTGGCGATATTACTACCCATGCGAAGGGACAATTTGGGTACCTACAATGAAATGATATGACTGCATGTAATAGATATACATGAACGAGTTTTGTAACTCGGCCTTACTGTGCGCAAATTAAAATGCAACACATTCCAACGTGGCAAGTCTGTGTACTCACTGATCGTTCTTCCACTCTACGCCGTAACGACTGTGAGTACAAGCTCGGTCGTCGCGTTGTATATATAAAGATTTCCTAATGCGTAACAACCCGCATAGGGCTGCTCGGAGTTGATCCAGAACGGAACTCGGCTGGTGTGGTAATTCGATCCCCCGAACGCCGCCGCTTCGATATCGGACTCGGAATTCTCGTAATCACGAGGGCAAAGTACTTATCTTTGATATGTATAATGTAATTATTCATCTTCACTGATAATCGTTCATATACCGGCGATTTGATCCACAATTCAAGGCAAACATAAAATACACCGTTGTCCTCCGGTCTCTTCATTACAAGATCTTGCATTTTATAGGTACACGTACGGACTGTGCCGCAGCGTATATTATTGCCTTGTCGTTGAGCCGGGGATTGGAGGTTATCCCAATAACTCTCTTCTTGATGAACAGATATAAAATTAATTTTTCGCAGTCGGTTGAGGCATATATATCCCGCAATCCGGTTGGATTGGTGCAAGATGGATCTACCACAGCCCCATAAGTGATATGGGAAAACTTTATCGTAACAGCATAACAACACTCATCCGTAATGGCGGTACACAATAGTATTCGCAAAAGTTCGCATGGCACCCACAACCCACACACGCCACGGATAGGGAGGACCCAATGTTCCGAAGGGATTCGCCAAAGTACTTACCATATTCGATGTCCCCAATCTCATATAAACTTCCACTCGTTGGTGTTCCCGGAACTTGCAATTTTTGTGAACCCTCATCGATCACTCGGCCTGTGCGCCATTGATATTATCACATCATCAGCGAGAGGATTTTTTTTTTATAAATAAAAAATAAGTTGCAAAAAAAGCAAAGACAGAAAAAAAAGAGCCTCCCAAAGAGTCTAGGCTTGGTCGCATAGCCCAGTTCAGAATCAGAACGTCAATGTCCCCATTATTCGCTCGAATGCGAGTGAGTTGCGCACATCAAATGGAGATGACTTCCCATATTCCATTGCGCAATCCGCGGTTGTGCTTATGTATTGCAACTAAGAGATGGGTAACATGCCCAAATTCGAGTCCCCTGGGAGGGGAGGGGCGTCAGGGAGATCAACGGAAGGAACTGGCCGTTGTATATGGGTACAACAATTTGCAACACGGTTTATGCGCTACAAAATTTCAGTCAGGAGAGGGCACTTCCAGGGTCTGGGTCTGGCGCCAATATGATATGGAGTACTGTTGGGAAAGCATGCCCTGAATAGCAGTTGAGTAGTGGCAGGCACACACGCACGGAGGGGTTGTGCGAACGAGTATAGTACTTATAAAACCGCACAAGCCACGATCAGTCCGAGCAATTTAGGGTCCAGAAAGCAGTTTTCATCACAAACCATCATGGGCGCTTGTTCGCAGGTCAGGATTCGTGCAACTTTACGTCCCGTCGGCAAGGGTCCGGCCCGGGGGGATCAGGACTTGGTCCCCCCCTAGAATTTACGCATTGGATTTTTGGATTTGGGCAACATTGCATTCGCAACGAGTACCTATCCACACCAGTACAATGAACAGCCCAGGCGACGAACGTGCGTTAGCAAGCTTATCTAGTTTCCGCCCTGACCGTTCCCTATCAGACCAATTCCAGCCTTGGGGAGTCCTGATACCAGTTGGCAGTCAGCTGACATAATGGAGCAGTACTGCTTGGCACATGTGGGCGATCGTCGAATATGATTTTCTGATTGCTTTGGAAACTGAGGAACGTTACTGTATCATGCCTTTAGGGCGGATCGGAACACAAAGTCCACAATGTGTACCTGCGCAAAAACTTCCCCGATGGCAAGCTACCGTATAGCGAAATCGACATGATGGTTAACTGATGAGCACTCGTACGTACGGTGCGGTGCGAGCGTCGTATATAGCAGCGATCAAAGTGTTAGTTATGTCATGTACCGTGTCATCAGGAGTAGTTTTCTACCGCTGAGTGCCCAATCACTCATTGATTAAAGCCCCAGGATATTAATGCATGCGTGCAGGGGACCATCCGGCGTTGTACAGAATTGAAAAGCTTTAAAGCTACTGTAGTATAACAAGTGGGCGTCTTTAGTTCCTGTTTGCCACGCCGCGTGAAACGGGACACCTTGGACAACCACTATGTGGGCCTTTATAGGGGGGACCTCAGGACGTTTGCATGGGGCCTAAAAGGCCTTTTTCACTATAAACGTCCTAGGACATCCTGGCCATTCAGTTTCATTCATTTGTTGCAAACGTCCTCAGATGTCCTAATTCAGTTTGATTCAATGGTTGCAAATTGTCCCGGAATGCCATACTCGTCCATCCCATGGTCTGTGCACATGCTGACCACTGTCTAGAGGGATGTCAACACTGTTTCCCACGGTCTGAACACACTTTACATAGTTGAATAGCCCCTTTGAATAGCTTCCAGAATATATATTTTGAGACTGAATTGACCAATAAATCATCGAGAAAAACGCAAAATACTTTTTTGGACGCGAGTCTTTTGGGTTAGTGTGGCTGTCCACCTCATGTCTGTGCACAGTGCTGGTCATTGTCCGGAGGGGTGTCCAGACTGTTTCCCACGGTGTCAACACACTTTGCGTAGTTGGATAGCCCCTTCAAATAGCTTCCAGAATATATAATTTGAGACTAAATTGACAAGCAAGTTATTGAGAAAAATGCAAAATACTTTTTTGGACACGAGTCTTTGGGATATCAGTGACCCGGGAATTTCGATGACTTCGATGACTGTCAGTGAAATTTAGTGGCCCAAGCACTATCCCAAAGACTTGCATTCAAAAAAGTATTTTGCATTTTTCTCAATAACTTGCTTGTCAATTTAGTCTCAAATTATATATTCTGGAAGCTATTTGAAGGGGCTATCCAACTACGCAAAGTGTGTTGACACCGTGGGAAACAGTCTGGACACCCCTCCGGACAATGACCAGCACTGTGCACAGACATGAGGTGGACAGCCACACTAACCCAAAAGACTCGCGTCCAAAAAAGTATTTTGCGTTTTTCTCGATGATTTATTGGTCAATTCAGTCTCAAAATATATATTCTGGAAGCTATTCAAAGGGGCTATCCATCTGCGTAAAGTGTGTTGGGGACGTGGGAAACAGTGTTGACACCCCTTCAGACAGTGGCCAGCATTGTGCACAGACAGTTGAGCAGCTGAGGATTGTCATGGGAAATCAGATTCAATTGCGGCATTATGTTTTGAATGTCTACCCTGAATAATACAAATTTGATTGAATCACAGAAGCATTTGATTGAATTTGATTGAATTATAGAATCATCCCAGGACATCCTGGGGATGTCCTGGTGAATGGATCAGTCTTCACCAGGACGTCCAGGACATCCACTAGTAAATACCCCCTTTTAGGCCCATTTGAAGGCCAAACGGCCCCCCTCTATAGGCCGTCATTAGATGGCTGACTAGGCTGTGAAACCAGGGCGGCTGAGAAGCTGCAGGATAAACAATATTATCGTAGTGGTCATGGATCTCCATGCACAGCCAAAGCAACCATGCAGGATCTTCCCATGACTCTCTTCGTTGGGCAGGATGGTTAGTAAGCGGTGATTTGCTTCTTCCACTGCGTTTGAACGGCACGCGGAACATTCTGGCACATGTGATTCCCGTTTTCTGCAAATAATCAATTCTGGGTGCGGGAGCTAGTCCAAGGAACATCATACATAGATGCTTTCATCTATAAAGTTGGAGGCTCTGATAGATCAGTGCTTGGTTTTCCTCCTATTACAAGAAGGATGTCAGGGTCGCGTCCGGGGTCGAGGCGGTCCGGGTGTAGTGTCCGGTGCTAAGGACCTCATGGGGGGTGGATCGGGCGTGCGTACTGGCAGGCCCAATGCTTACCTGAAGTGGGAATGTTGAGAAGAAGGTTACTTCTTCGGTTCCCACCCCACATCAGGAAACTTCCGAGCTTGATTGAAATGGTTGAGAGCACCCAATGTGCTCAATCACGACAACCGATGGATCGAGTCAGCCCAATCAGCCCAATCAGCCCAATTATTGTACATATCATTAGTATATATTATGTATGTACAAACGTCGGAATAAAAGTTCACTGGTATCGTGATATCCACCGATGGTTTTTGACCTCACTAAGAGTGAGTCTATCCTCTGGATTTTTGCACAGCAACTAGCGAGAGGTTAGTAGCAGTAGGGCTGAAAAGAACTTGAAGTCTGAACATACACGTTGGATAAGGTTGGAGGCGTCCAATGAAACATGATTGGGTATCCAGAGATCAACCTCCATAATCCATCGATATGTATGTATCTATCGCACCATGTCATTCAACAGACTGGACAATGTACTGGTGGGTCTCACATACCTTGTTTACTCCTTCCCGTGAAAGGAGATTTACCAGTGAGTAATTGATAAGTAAGGACACCAAGTGCCCAGTGATCTACTTTCTCCAAGTATGGTTGATTTTCGACCATTTCGGGAGCCAAATAAGCGGTTGTGCCGCAAATAGTTGTTTGGCTGAGAAGTTATGTTAGTACTGTTCAAGGTGACCATGAAAGACTTACTGGTTGCGTGTTTGAGTGCTATAACTGAAGTCCGCTAACTTAACCCGTCCATGAACATCGACAAGGATGTTCTCCAAGTCAATGTTGCAGTAAATGATGTGCTTGCCATGCAAATATTCGAGCGCATCTGTTAGTTGAGCAATGTACTGAAAACAATCAATGGTCATAGTCATTGGTATTTGAACGGACCTACTTGACTGCTCATCTGTTCCGGAACACGGTGCCATTCCAAAACGCGATCGAACAACGTTCCTTTCGGAGCCAACTCAAGCACTAAACATATTCGCACCTTATCGTCGAAAGAGCCGTAGAGGCAGATGATGTTTGGGTGGACGAGATTCTTGTGGGTTTTGATTTCACATTGAACTTGTTCCTCGACATTTTGGTCCAGTTCAGACTTGCACAGGACTTTCAAGGCGAGTGTTGACATTGAGGGGCACTTGGTACGAGCGACATGGACTCTGGCAAACTTTCCTCTCCCAAGTTCATGACCCAGTCCAAACATTGACATATTCCAACGTCGGGTGGGTTGCAAATCAACATCGTTGAGGAGTGCGTGAGGCATCATCAGACTTATGGGGTGAGTGAAGATGAGAAACGATTTTCGGAGCCGAGCGAGTGACAAGCTGGAGGGAAATGTGAGTTTTAAGGCCGGAAGCGGAAATGCCCGGAAATCTCATCTTGAAAACTTCAGCCTGGAACGAACGGTCAATCTTCAGGAGTCCATCAGTAGTCCAAAATAGCATAACAATGCGAAAGAGGGTCCGCGCTAACATTTTGCAATGTTGGGTAGTCCGAGAATTTGACAAGTGGGTACTCTTTCAGGATTTCAACGGCCTCATCTTGCTTCTTTCCTTTCTTCTCCATGCTCTCGTCTGCACCAGATGCCCTATCAGTGTAGGTAGGAATATCCATGAAGTTACTTACCATGTCTGTGCTGCTGTTGACAAGCATGTTGTCTGTGTCTCGCCGAGCATAACCCGGCTCAAAGAACAGGAGCCAACGTGCTCAAAAGCTCCTCCTGTTGGCCCTCGTCTGCAACAGAAATCCCCCACTGCTACAAAGTCCATAACTTTTCCTTCATTCTGCAGTTATTGGGGTTGTCCGCATCCTCACGGCACAGAAACGTACAATCGCATTAATTATTTCAGAGCTAGGGAGAAATGAGACAGGCAGACTCACTGATGAGGGACAGCTTGATTCGTGACCCGAGGCCGAGCCAGCCGTCTGCAAAACAGTCCTTGACTTAGACTTGCATTGTAATGACGAGAACTTTTGTAAAGCCAACTGTGACGACTCTGAATTGGATTCATACCCCGAAAATGAGGGATTTTTCGACATTGACACTAAGGCATGCCTTAAGGATGAGGGCCTCTGCCAATTGGCCTTTGAAAGGATGTATACGCATACCTTGATGAGGAGTGCTATTCTGAGGTGGCCCATGATGTCCCTGGAGCAGCACCGAGTCCCCCATTGAGTCCAGCAAAGGCAGACGTGAAGATACGGGTCCAGAGGCGCTCAAGCAAAGCGGCTGAGTGAGTTAAGACATTGCATTCGATGCATGAGTCCGATGAATGACATCACAGTCCACCCAAGGACCTGATAAGTGCGTCAGACGACTCTGGGTGAAGAGGGGGAGGTGAGGGGTAGACAGCCTCTTCTATAGGCTCCACCATGGGTTCAGGGGATGGAGGCAGGACTGGTACGACTTCTCGGACCTCCCATACTGATGGAGATCGTTGCACTGACTCTTCTTTCTGTCGAAGCAGATCGGCGAGCTCCATTATATCATCTTCTATCTTGCGTACTGCTGTTGGAGGCAGAACAGCCACACTCAGGACAATTGGGGCTGTAGGAGGCCAGGGTGCCTCTTTTTCCTGTTTTGTTACAGGTGGGGCCTAGCAAAGGGTGAGCAGTATTCATTCGTCACATCATGTTGCATTCCACTCACAGGTGGGGCCCCAGCTGGCAAAGGCTTTTCCGGAGGTTTGTTGTACCGCATCCGGGGCCGGAACTAAATCTGGTGGAGTCGTGGGTGGACATCTGAGGTGTTCAATTGGAGGCTTGGGCTCGGGCTCCTGCCAATATTATAAAAAGAATGCTTGAGACGAATAAATAGCTGTCACCATTGGAACTCCTGGTGACGGAATGAACGTCCCGCCTCCACCTCTCCGAGCCTTTCTATGATCACAAACTATCTTCAAGTCCAATGCAGGGTCAACAGCCTCTGAGGCCTCCCCGGTGGAGGGAGCTGTATGCTGGACTCCAAAGTCTCTAGCTCTCTGGGCTCACGATACTCGAATTTTCAGCATGGAGAGCCTTCTTGAACAGGCCAATCCTTGGGCCCTGGAGGAAGGGCAGGCGATCTGTGACACTGGAAACGTCCTCTCCTGTCGGCATCTGCTCTACAGTGCTCATGGACTTGCATTGCATGCCCTCTGGGACAAAGGAGGAACCCTCCACTACTGTTACTGGGGTGGGTATGGTAATAGTTGGAGGCTCAACAGCAGCCTCGCCCCTCTGGCTCAGCTTCAGCAAGAGATCTATAGGTGCACGAGATGCCGTACTGTAACGATGGGACTGCGATTCAGCTGACTCCATTTTTCTTCACCATACTATCAGCCCACTCGTTGCTACTCTCCTCCAAGGGAGGTTGGGCAGGTGGAGCTGCAGGGGCGCAACTTCTCGGTCCTGCATATCAGAAATGATACCACGGGCATTAAGAATCCGATGAAGCAAGTCTGTAATCCCTTTCCGTGACGCAGCCTCCTGTGCCTCATTACGAACTGAAGGCAGTCTAATCTCCAGCTGTGTTGGCGGTGGCCGGTCATACAGTTCTTGAAGAAGCACCCTTGTTTCCAGCTGGTCCTCAAGGAGATTAGCGCTTTGCTGCTGTAATGTAGATAACATGTCCCGAAGTGCAGTAAGATCGACTTGAGGACAAGCAGTAGCGGTGGTGGCAGTGGAGGTAGGAGAGGATGGTATGGTAGATTCTGATGTTTCAGAACTAGGGGGAGACGAAACAGGAGTACTTGCCAATGAGGGAGAGCTGGGGGATCGAGCAGACTGACATCCAAGTAGTGGGAAGATAAAAATGAAATACTTGAAACAAAGGACAAGGGAGACCCTGTGCGAAAAGGTTGAGGTGAGGGATAGGCTACTTCTTACACAGGTTCCACCACGGGTTCTGGGGGTGGAGGTGGAACTGGCACGACTTCTCGGACCTCCCGTACTGATGGAGATCACTGCACCGACACACCCTTCCTGGGACGAGGCTCTTCTTTCCTTCGAAGCAGATCGGCAAGCTCCATTATGTCATCCTCTATCTTCCGGAGATGTTCATCAACCCGCCTGCCTTGACGGTCCGTCTGATTGGAGAGTTCTTGCAGCCTATTGAAGATGCAGTTAATGTCTACTGCCAAAGGGGGGACCTTCTTCCTCAATGGTTGCCGCCTCAATGGTTTCAAGCTGTGACCGGATAGAAGGTAAATTGCTTGCTGATAGCAGAGCTTGGACCTGGACAGACGATGGAACTGTTGGGATTTCTGCAAGAATTACAGGCTACACGAAAGTAGTGTCACCTGCTACTCATTAACATCAATGTTAGTCATTCACTCACAGGTGTTATCGAGCTACTGGGGGTTGTCGGAGAAAGCGGCCATGAAACCACAATTGGAGGAACAATCATAGCACTTATCACGGAGAGACGTGGGCGACAATGGCAAACACTCAACAGTCCATTGAGGACCTCGTGGAAGAGGCACAAAGGATTCGGAAGGCTGCAGGAAAGATGTCTCGAGAGACAGGTCCAGCTCCGGAAGGGCAGCCGAATGCAGTGATGGGGATGGACGTAAGATGCTGGACTCATATGAACCATCGGTTTTGGCTAGCGACGGTGACTTAGCTGTCGGTGGAGGAGGGGTCATGAGAGTAGGTATTTCGGAAACCACGGTTATCCTCGGACTTGATATGCCTTCGCTAGATGGAGGCGAAGTGAGAATGGCAATGCTTGAGATAGTTGGAATCGAGAGCTCCAAAGTAATAATGACTGATATGGGTTCTTCAGAAGGCTCAGAGATGATGATTTCCGATATTGGTTCTGAGGAAAGCTACGAGGTGATATCTAATATCCATTCCTCAGAAGGTTTGGAAATGATAGTCTCTGAAATTCGCTCCCCACTAGGTTCCGACGTCATGGTCTTTGAGATTTGCTCCTCGCTAGGCTCCATGGTGACAGTCACTGGAATCCGCTCCTCCGAGGGCTCAGAAGTGACAATTGGCGATAACTACTCCATTGAAGTTCGGAAGTTGGCTCTTCTGAGGGTTCCAATGTTGTCGTAACAGGTGCGATTGAAGGGATGTCAGGGCACACACCCTGACTAGCCCAGACCCGGACCCGCATCCGGACCCGCTTCCACCCGCCGTGCTTCCCGCACGTGCGCACGCTCCGTGCACCGCATGCTCCGGACCCGGTTCCTACCCCTTCATGTGACTTCCGGGTATCCCCGGAAGTTTTGCTGATATTGTGGCCACTGTGGGAAGATGAGAAGTTAGCTTCCTTCTCATCTCCTTACCCACAGTAGATTGTGCCCTGGATAGGGCTGGCCAGACCAGAGGCTGTGGACCATAGGGGAGGGTCATGGGGACGCGGGAGTCGTCCCCTGACAAGGGACCAACGGCTCTGTAGTTGGAAGTGGGGACTCAGCAGTCGCAGATGACCCGAGAGGCCGAACTGATAGGTGAAAACTTGACAGTCGGTGATAAAGGTCCAGACAAATCTTGCGACAGGTGGATACTCCACAAAGTTTAGCGAGTCAGAGGAGATGCAAGACACTGTCAGAGACCAGATTCGAGACGAAGGAATGTCTCCGTAGCGGAGGGCTTCGGCCTCAGCGACTTCTGCCAAGAGCGCTGTGCCTAGTGACACGTCCGTGCCCTAACTTACTGACTGGCAATTAGAACCTAGGGGGGTAACTCTAGTTGATTTTACTACTGGGGTGTAACCTATGTACAAACGGGATATATATATATGGTTACAGCGAAGATGGGTCCGCAATTGGCGGAGCCGGACGGAGTGGAGCTAACGGGTTTAATCATTAGCCGACTGAATATTACCGACGAGTCGGGTCGTGGGGTTAGCGGAGAGGCAGGCGTTAACCCAGAAATGGGAAGGAGGGATAAGCCCGAAGGTAGGCTCTGCAGGGCAGGCGATTGTATTGCCCAGCGGAGGCGGGGGTGCGCTAGCGGACGTCGGAGCTGTCCGGAAGTATACTTAGGGAGGCGTAGGTAATAAATTGAAATGAGGGGGTGGTGACCATTGAGGGGTGCCGAGAGGATTGCGGAATATGGGAGCTCCGAGGTTAGTGAAGGAGGAGCGGGGTTAGACCGGAGGGAACGGAGGGACCGGAAGTTGATGGCCGGGAATGGATATGACAGACACAACACTTGGACTGGAAATACTTGCTCAATGATGCTGGAGAATGGCGAAGGAGATGAGACAGACAATGGCGAAGATGGTGCAGTCATCTCATACAGCTCCGACACCGGATGCACAGTGAGCCGAGAAGAGATCGGGTTGGGTTGGAAGCGTGACAGTACTAGTTCAGAAATAGAGAGCAAACCCAGAACCATTGGTGAGTGTATGGTGATGACAGACCCAATAAGCGGAACACGATCCTCACCAGGAATCGTGAGGATTTCACTAGGAGGTCTAGCGGGGCTAGTCGGTGCAGGACTCAGCAATGCAGGCAGAACAGGAGGAACAGGTGAAGGGACAGTCGGAATTGGACTATGCAGTGGGGTTGCAACATATTTTTGTGAACATGGGTGAACGAAGACAACGTACGAGAACAGGAGTAGGGCTCAGTGTCAGAGACCGGATTCGAGACGAAGGAGTGTCTCCGTAGTGGAGGGCTTTGGCCTCAGCAACTTCTGCCAAGAGCGCTGTGCCTAGTGACACATCCGTGCCCTAACTTACTGAATGGCAATCAGAACCTAAGTGTCAGGGTCCGGCCCTCGTTCCGTGATGGGCCCAAGGGGATCCTCCGAGTCGCTGGGGTATCTAGTCCCAGTCCGAGGTCTTCAAACTCACTGAGGGGGCTAGCCCCAGCCTTCACAGGAAATGAGTTGAGAAGAAGGGTAACCTTCTCAACCTCCTGTGAAGCCGCTACAAATGGGAGCCGGGAACTATACAGTTTTCGGCTCTTTGCCGACTTTCCATAATTGGCACCCCCCCGTGGGAAGATTCTGGGCAAGCAGCTCGCCCAGAAAGTTCCCATGGTTGTGGCTGTGATGGTTTCTGGGCGAGTAACTCGCCCAGAACGTTCCCACGGTCTGCATGCATGCGGGATTGTGGAACAGTGAAGGGAAAAATAGGAGAAAATGGGGGAAGGGTACCTGAGGGTGTGTGGGGTCAGGGGCTGTGCCCTGACACTAAGGGGGGTAACTCTAGTTGATTTTATTACTGGAGTGTAACCTATGTACAAGTGGGATATATATATGGTTACAGCGAAGATGGGTCCGCAATTGGCGGAGCCGAATGGAGCGGAGCTAATGGGGTTAAACTGAATATTACCGACGAGTTGGGTTGCGGGGTTAGTGGAAAGGCAGGCGATAACCCAGAAACGGAAAGGAGGGATAGGCCTGAAGGTGGGCTCTGCAGGGCGGGCGATTGTATTGCCCAGCGGAGGCGGGAGTGCGCTAGTGGACGTCGGAGCTGTCCGGAAGTCTTCGGGGCTCTGTACTTAGGGAGGCGTAGGTAATAAATTGAAATGAGGGGGTGGTGACCATTGAGGGGTACCAAGAGGATTGCGGAATACGGGAGCTCCGAGGTTAGTGAAGAAGGAGCGGAGTTAGACCGGAGGGAACGGAGGGACCGGAAGTCGATGGCTGGGGATGGATATGACACTCAGAGCTGATTGCCCATGGGGAATTGGAGATGAATGGAATCGCCTCAGGAGTTTGGGAGGACAGGAGGGGAAAAGAAGCTTAAGTGGATTGGCAATGTGTGTGATGGATTGGGTGGGCACGCTGTAGTAGTCTTCCTACGACCACCGAAAGCGTCGAAAGAAAGAATGGCTTGCATAGTGATTGATGTGATATGTTTTGATCTGTTCGAAACAATTATCCGATGTTATAGTTGGGTCACACTTTTCACCAAACGATGGCGCCAGTGGGCAGAGACCCCTTATACGGGAAATATCAATGATGCCTGATCTTCGACGTCCATGCATGTCAAACTCCTGAGTGACCTGATACATATTTGCGCGAGATGGCCGAGCCGGGATGGGAGAATACCATAGGACATGTGCATAGAGCTTGGCATCTCGATCTGGTCGTCATTCATTCAGGCAGGGCCGAAACACCAGTCTTAGTTCGGCTACATGGTATCCTGGACATGGAGTTAGTGTCAGGGGATGACTCCCAGGTCCCCATGACCCTCCCCTATGGTCCACAGCCTCTGGTCTGACCAGCCCTATCCAGGGCACAATCCTACTGTGGGTAAGGAGATGAGAAGGAAGCTAACTTCTCATCTTCCCACAGTGGCCACAATATCAGCAAAACTTCCGGGGATACCCGGAAGTCACATGAAGGGGTAGGAACCGGGTCCGGAGCATGCGGTGCACGGAGCGTGCACACATGCAGGAAGCGCGGTGGGTGGAAGCGGGTCCGGATGCGGGTCCGGGTCTGGGCTAGTCAGGGTGTGTGCCCTGACAGTTAGAGGATGAGATTGTAATAATATGAATCAACTTACTGTGAATCCCTATGGATTGAGTGTGCATATCAACGAGAACAGGTGTGAGCCGTGCAGGGTTGGTCCCATATCGTGCCTTGCAGGTTATCGTTAGGGTCTCTTCTTCAGGAAACTTGTTACAGGGTGGAATCACAAGCCGAAAGTGATCCCATATGTCCAAATAATGGAACCGCTCATTAAGCTGGCCAATAGCATAGTCCCATTGAGGGCGCGATGAAGAGCCATCATAGCTGCTGAGAGCGAATGCCCGGCATATCGATGAGATAAGATCCGGAACATCATGCAATTGAATAAGTCTCTCAATGGCGCAGGCCCGGTAATGGGGATCTTGAGCAATGTTGAACCCAAGAGTCAAATTCTCAAAGTCTTGCAACTCCGGATTGTGAAGGGCAATGCCACCCTCTAGGGGTTCCTAATCGCAGATTCAGTGCCATGAACCGATAATTTGTTATGTTCTAATCTACTTACATGAGACTTCTCACTCTCCTTGTGTGACTCATATGCATAACGCATAGCCAGGCGATCTTGCACATCAAGATAGTTCAGTATTTGCTTGTCATATCCACAGTGGTTCGATGCGAGGTAAGGTTCTTTGCACATCTCGATATGCAATGACTCCAGGGTTTCAGTGGAAGAATTGTTTGGTGTCCCACCCATTGTAATATCGCTGATGAAATGCTGAAGTCCGTGTAATTTTGGTATTCGAAAATGGGGTGGGTCTTGCAAGCCATTATCGACAAACACCTGCTTGTTTCCATGGAATGTAGTTAGCGCTTCCTCCATCTTGTGTATTTTGGATGCCGAGAGTGATGGATACTGAGCCAGGTAACTGAAGTCCAATAGAGACGATATTGCATTGATGACCTTGTTATCTACATGATCGTGGCCAATAATTATAGAGAGGATTGCCTGTTGGAAAGCACGATGTTCCCGCCTGGTCACTTGGGAGATTATCGAGATACCCCCTGCAAAACGGTTAGTGGAGATTGGTGGTTGCGCAATGAAATGATGATCGATTTCCTCAACCCCAAGTAAGTTTTTGAGCCAATCAGTTGGGTGATCCCAAAAGAATTTGTGGATACCATGGAGAATGTCTTGCTTGATGAAAATGCAGGGCTCGGCCCCAAGTCCCTCCCAGCAAGGATCCTCGAATGCACCAGACAGACCCAGCAGGAGTTTTTTCACTTCTTGAGAAAATTCATAAACTGAGGCTGTGGGATGCTTGCTGCGGACTTCTCTGAGTGCAGAAAGAATCGTTTCTCCCATCCGGACCTCAAAACACTCGTGTTGCCCCAAGTGGCTGAAAGTGGCTGAACAGACCGGACAGCTGAAGCTTCGAGCACCAACGACGAGGAGCTGCTCCTCAAGGTCAGCAATCCAAGCCATCAAAATGGCGATACAGGAGCGAACGTGCCCATCTGGAGAGGGCACATGGAAGTATCCCCTGCAATCGGTCCTCAAAGGCTCAAGAACACGTCTCATACAGTTGTGAAATAGTCGCTGGCCAAGTATTCCTGGAATAGCCTTTCGTTCGGTTTTATTTCCAGGGAAAGGAGTTTTGGGAAATTTACAGATTGGGACCTTGGCAAGCAAGAGCCAGGCGCACGTGTTATGCTTCCGATGGACATTTTTACTGATGTTCCCAAGTGAGATGTAAACGGCATGCATCTTCTTGTCCCCAGTAAAGCTCGTTAAGTGGGTCCGATCAGACGCAAGGATTATCCCAAGAATAGTGGATCCTTCGTCAAGCAGCGACTATGAGTTGATGAATTTTATTTCAGTAGGGGCATTATGCGGTTTGGACCTACTTGCTGAAAGTGCCACTCATTTCCCATCGTCATCTCTGAATAAACCCGGGCCCCATCCGAACTAAACACCCATGAGGGCGCATACGTCTATAAAAATGGGCGAAAAGTTAGCGGTGAAGAGGGGAGCAAGAAACTGGACTGATCTGGCTACTCACCTCTGCTACCCTATCTGTTCCATCGTGACTACTCGACTCATTAAAATGTCCTTCCAACCTTTCCTTGCTTGCTACGACTCGGTTGAAGAGAAGAAGAAGAGCAGAACGTTCGACACGGAAATTACCCGTATGTGCCACATGACCCGGAAGAAAATTATTGACTAAATAAATAATTAGTCAAACATCTTGAGAATCCTAAGAAGAGGAAGAGAGCTTCGTCCAAGGGGGCCGATGAATTGCCATTTGAAGATTGTTCCGATAAAGAGCTCAGCCAAATTCTTACGGAATTAACTCGCAAGATTCATGCGGATTGTGAGAAGTATTTGAATCCGAAGACGGAAATTCCTGCTGGTGAGCACATGTGGGAATGACCTGAGAAACAATGATTTTATTTACCTTAAATCATACAAGACATAAGCGAGAGTTCAGACCCGATGGTTATTGATTCCGAACATCGTGGATGGCAGGAACCTGATTTTACCGCTTGGGGAACTCAAATCAATCATCCCACTTTACATTCTCCCGAATATTCCGAATGGATGGTTCCAACACCGCCATCCGAATATAATCCGGAATATAAATTCTCTCCCACTTTTTCCGAATACCTAATTAAGACGATGCGCGCTGACCATGATCAGGGTTTTCCTAAAGGAGTTAAGACCGTCAGCGACTTCTTGACCAACCATCTAGTTCAGTTGGAAAAGGATTTGGACCGTGCTTGGCAGACCGCGGAAATGTGCATGGACATTATTCAAGACGAGAAACAGATGCGCCGAAATCCCCGACGCCTCGGAAATTTATTCCGACCCCAACACAGTAAACGTGAATCTATTTGAAATATCGAAGAAGCATCCGATTTCCTAATTGGTAGAATACTCCTCGAAGCTGCCTTAGGCAACACTATGGATGAAGTACACGAGATGGAACTCGAACTTCGTCATGCACAAGGACTGCTTATGGAATGGTTGGGAAAGGCCGAACAAAAAGTCCGCAAGCCTCACGACAACCCCATCAATCTGTGGAACTACCGCATTTATCAAGAAAGAATTTATTTGAAACTCAAGCGCTTTAGTCTTGAAACTCTCGAAGAACTTCAGCTCGGCTTGGAGAATTACCGCGATCATTATGCGATTTATTTTCCGGGAGAAACTTGGGCGAACGAGCGCGAAGAGAAATGGTGGTCCGACCATTTGACTAAATAGGGAAATTTCGTGTTTGGAAATGTGCTCGGAATCGCTAAAGAATGCTTGTACTTGTACTTCTGTGAAATTTGTCTGTACTGACTGAAATCCTCAAATCACGACTAATCACGACTCTGGTTTCTTTTATTTATTGGTTTGATTTAAAAGCGGATAAGAATTCCCAAGATCGCTGAGGAGAAAGCCAATGAGCATCCTAAATAACTATAGAAGATCACAGAATGGACCACAAACTTATTATTTATTTATTTATTCATTTGAACGCGCTATCTTAAAGATTCAGCTGAGGATAACAGGCTCGCGTCAGATAAAATTCATAGGAAAACAGACCATTATAGAAGAGATTCTTAAGTCGCAAAGATAAACAAAGTAAAAGGAACTAAGTAGAGTTAAAGCAAAAGGTTAGACACCATAAGGGAAGTGAAAAGACAATAATGGCCCATTTAGGATAAATAGCGGAGTGTGTGTGCGTGGGAACTGAGGCCAAAAGGGCACGGGAACCAGCGGAACCGAGCACGGAATAAGCTGAAGGCGTGCGAAATGCGCAAGAGCAAACAGATCACGTTACAACAACAAGGGAACGTCCGAAGTGCAATATCCCAGTGCAACCTAAAGCCATAATTGCATGAAACAAACCTAGACCTAGGTATTAGAGTAAATTGCAAGGGACTGCAATTGCTCAGCTGTGCCTATATGTAGGAATATAAAAGTTGCAACACTAAAACAACCAGAAACCATCACAGAAAATTGGATAAAAATCATACAACCTCCGCGGACCAGAAATAAAAATAGGAATAAAATCATAACTCAACAAAATGAATTGAAATAGAATATCGGAAAAATACTGAAGAACAGAGTCGATAAATTGAGTATCTACGCGAACTTTCAAGTCTAGGGATTAAAAGATGGCTCAGAAAATGAAGAAAAACAGCAAATAAACTCACATGAAAACAAAAACAAGGTTTCCTGTATCAAATAAAATATTAGAAATTCGTGGTAACGTGGGAAAATAGTTTTACGAACGTACGAAACGAATGACAAAGAGAAATCGGAAGAAAATCAAGGCATTCAAATAATGAAAAATGGTCGGGTATGAGGAAAAGATGAAAGAATTGGAAATATTTATACGAGGAAAATAGAAAAAAATATGAATATTTGTCGGTCTTAAAGAGTTGAAGTATAGGTCTGTGTTCGAAAAGATTTCATGTTAAAATCTGAAGAATTGAGGGAGAAACGGATTTAACAAGATTAAAACACACTTGCAGAGAAGACTGGCTCAAACATCCTGAGTTTGTGGTAAAAACGGATGAGCTAGAAATGCGAAACTAAAGAGTTTGAGTCCAGGAACAAGGCATAATTTATCCAGAATTAATCGTAGGAAAATGGATGAGCTAATGCCAAAGCAATCTGGAGAACCTCAAAATTAAATCTTGAAAAATTCATATCTTCATAAATAATCCTCGTAGTTTACTGTTGTTTATACCGACGGAAAGCTACACTCTTAAGCTAACAAATAACCCCATGACATGTGACCTAGAATAAAGTGAGTAAACAAGGGTAAACAAGGTCATGATGGGTGTTAGGCAATGCAATTGGCTAATTCCCACACCAAAACTTCCAGAAAGTTCTAGAAGCAGAATGGGATGCTGATCGCTTACATAAGAGGATTGCTAAGCTCAATATAAGATTACTCAGCAATGTAAATAGTAAAGTGACATGTGAAAACAGAGCCCTTAGGAAAGGTATAAAAGACCGCATTTTCTGGTCTGACCCCTCTTCCTTCTTTACTCCTCTCCCCTACGTGCTCTGGCTCATAGGTCATAAGGCGTCCTAATAAAAATTAAGTTTTATTAGTATAAGTGTGCAGTTCAGATCACATCTGAGTAAAAGTGATCAACCCTCAGTAAAAAGTTAAGAAGAAGTTAAGAAATAGTGACGTTGAGTCAAGTTGGTTGGAGTCGCTCCGAGTTAAAAGTGACAAGACAGAGGTGAAACGACTGAAAATAGTAGGTCTATAGCGCAATTTTCGTGTGGAACAATCAGGTAGACAAGTGAATTGAACCCTGAGAATTTCATACACACACAAATAATCAGTAACACATACAAATATCAATACACAAAGCAACCAAAACGCTACAGTGGTTGAGTTAAAGTACCAATACTAACATATAAGTATCAGAAGAAAGAACAGCCTTTTATAGGATTTCTGTTCTCCTCCTTCAGCGCATATGCCATATCCCCATCAAAGTCAGGATTCTGGAATAGGAAGTGTGTGCATTCCACAGGATCATGCCAGTAGAGTGTTTGTGGCTCATTGGGTGCTTCCTCGAGGGTTACTGTATCGGATTTCCATGAAGGTGGGCCTGGCATCGTCTTTACCCGTTCGTACATTGAAACTGCATCTTTCCAACTTGGTGGCCGAGGATGGTTCATCACCTAATCTCCGGATAACGTGGTCGATCAATTGTCTGGAATGTTATGCTCACGCACCCATGTAAGATTTCGGAAGCGATCAATCCCTTTTTGTGAAATACCCTCCATGCTCAACCAATAACATAGTTCCCAATCCTCCTTACTTTCAAAGGGCGCATAGGGTCGACCGTGCTCCTCCAGCTTAGACAGCTGGTCCCAAAGAGTCTCTACTATGTACCCCTCAAGAGGTCTGCCAGCACTGGAATCCACAATGACCCTTCTTGAGTGGGAGGGCCCTTGATCGCTGCTAGTGCTGGTATCTGGGGTTCCATCGCTGTGATTGTTATCATCGTTAAGAGGCAATCGATTGCAGGGAGATTGATTGGGAGGACCATTGGAATTACGCTGAGCCCTTCTTGCCTCTGCGGCTCTGCGGGCCTCCTCAGCCTTCATGTAACATGGGGAGCTCTTATGGATGTGATTTGTAAGGCCACCACCCTGCATACGGCACTTTTTCAAGCACCATGGACAGTGTATTGAGGTGTTTTGAACCGGGAGAAACCGAGACATAATCGATGGGATCAATAGCTTCGATTGATTGGGAGGCCATGGCTGCTGCGCTTTTTGAACTGCCCATAGATTAGATGAGCAGAATCAACGGAGTTAACGGATTGGCTTCAATCAATTTCAAATCTGAGTCCGCCCCATCAATTTTTTTCCTATCGTCTGATTCAACATGTCCAAGCACACACGCGCAGCATCAACCCGAAAGAAAGACCCAAAAAATGTCGCGGAGCCTGCTATACCCCCTCCCATATCAGAAGTGTCCAAGTCAAACAGGAGCACTGCAGCAAGCAAGGCCTGGGAGGTTCGACGTGCAAAGGCGGCTGCCACACAGCTCGCTTCTACCCAATCAGGTTTACAAGAAACGCAGAAAGTGGGTTCTATGAATAGCCTTGTGGCGGAAGGTAGGGAAGTCCCTTGTTTCTAAGTATGGACTAGCGAGGTTACATGGCACCGATGTCTAGCAAGTAATTCAGTAGTCCAGTCTGCCTGTCTACGAGCAGCAGCGGCCCCACAGACAATCCAAGACCGGTATAAACATTTGAAACCGCCTTCCATCGTTGCGGTGAGTTCATTCCCACTTGATATCACTGAATATTATCTCAATTGCACTTCAACAGGAAGTGAGTAGGTCAATTTTATTATGTATAGATTCTGTTATTGATTGTCGTTCAAAGTGAATGAGAAAGAAACCGAGGTAATGTCATCCAAACAGGTTATTTCCTATGAACCAAGCATGAATACTCATTCTTCTTAATTGCTTTGCAGTATCACCACAATCCTGATGAAACCTCCATTCCACGCTGTTGTGGGGACAACTCCGTGTACCGCAAAAAGTCGGATTCTGCGGAATTTGGTCACTAACACGCAGTACATATCCGCTGACGCTCCCGATACTCATTCTATCACTATCCAACACTCCATACACTCACTCCATATTTTTCCTTATTTTCCCCATCATTCCCGACAGCCCCAAGCCAAATTCCCACGCCCAACCACGCCGCCAATTTCACCCCCTCTCCACATCTCAAGAACCACTGCACCAAATGGGATGAATAAGGGCTCGTTGGAAAGCTGGAGACGAGGAGGTTGCTGACGGGAGGATAGATGGGTGCTGTGGCGAACTGTTGCGGAGTTAATCTTCACAATTCCCATTTCGGACCCGTTGTCACATTTTCCCCATTCACTCATATTTCTTTTATTGTTTCTTTGTTCCCAATTGGATATTCATCATTTACGGTTGCCTAACGGCCCGTTTACATTCCCCCAGTCCATTCATTTCATTTCCAACATATATAAACTAGATAACAGCTTGTACATAACAAGTTAGTATTGAATAGACCCGTGAAGGGACAAGCAGAAGTTGCATCCAAGTGGCAAAGACGCCATCCACGACCCTAACGCCCCCTCTGAGCTAGTTGCTCACGTCTAAGACCCCTCACATCATAATACTCAGCCTTGACGTCCAAGAGAGACGTAGGTGAGTGTTTGTTTGAGGTTTTTGCAGACTCAGTAGCGCCCACGGACCAAGACCCGGCCTCACGAACCACATCCGCGCACACTACCACCCTCCCCCTTCTCTCTGTCTCGAGTCTAGGCGATAGACCCGTTACAACGCTCCCAGCCGCAATTGCCCTTTGTTCCTCAAACTCCGGACTCCCTGAATAGACCTGAAAGTAGGCAAATATATTGTCCGTTATTTTTCGGTATTATGCAATAATTGTCATCTGCTTCACTGTGCACCAGTGAATGACTTCGTGCATGTGCCTGATCATTCAACACAATATTAAAACTAATTTCTCTTTTCAAAAGCTGGTTCTCAGTGATTTGAACCAGGGTGGTGGGATGCCCATGGACTCTCAACTGCATTCACGCTTTCCCTCGGAATCGCCAAGCCTGAGCATTCAGTCTCAGTCGAATGAACACGGATGTAGGTCAATTGGTTGATCACTAATTTTGGTTTCACAAATTGCAATGTGCTCAGTAGTGCATGGCTTGACTGCTTCAGGGGAGGAAACTCAGGTGGTATGTCCGCCTAATTGATCAACTCGATTTCCAGGATGTAAATTTTTTTTTATTAAAAAAAGGAATCTCAGGGTGGGATCCACATGTCTGGCTACCGGCCGCAACTGCAGCAGCTGGTAATGGACCTTTCATCCAATGTACAGAGCTTGAACAGAGAATTGAGCCAAGCTCAGCCTAACCCACCCACTCCCAATTCTGTCAACGCCAGCATGCCCTCTCCTGATATTTTTAGCCAAGGTGTTGGCACCCCCACCCACAAGCCTACTATTGGCCTCAAATTGCTTTTGTTCTTGAGTGCTTCTCCCGCTTCGGGAAGTAGTGTCGCCATGCCTACAAGGACACCAGGCAGCCTCGACATGGAAGTGAAATCTGAGAAGGATGCAAGTCAAACTAAGTGCCGAGCAATGGTTCTTAAGAGCAGTTTTAAGGGGAATCCCCATAACAACTTAATTGTCGAAGAGATCTCTGCAGACCTTTACTTGTTGGTAGTTACAGAACAGTTGTTCATAGAAAGAGGTGCCGATTTCAAGGAGATTATCCGAGGATTGGCAACAAATGCAATCCAGCACTCGCAAAATCCCTCTTCTATCACCATCGACCTGTCTGACGGTCTTTTTGATATGGTGCATGTACCTCCTTCACTCAGACTTGACCCTCTGTTATCTTTAAATCCTTAGTTTGCACGAGACATCAGGACATGGAGGAACAAGCTCAAGTCACATCTCCTTGGTGAAATCCCGGCATTGTATGGTGCTGGAGGGGGTGTGGAAGTGGGCGCTGCTGCACACGCTGTCGAGTTGGCAATTGACGGTGGTAACTATGCATTCCAAACCTATGAAGCCGCGACAGGCACCACAGATGAGGTGACAAACTTACCTTTTTTTAACTGCTCAAGCTCATGTTTCAAATATCAGTCACCACGTTTCGGGCCGCTGGAACACCCTGCCATTGCTGCTGTGTTGGAATACACATTTGGGCTCAAAGAACTGCAACCGGCAACTGACACCAAGTGCCAGGATCTCAAGATAAGGCTATCCAAGCCCAGCATTGAGACGGTTGTATTTGCATTGACTATTGTAAGTGGATAGTTGTTAGTACATATCACTCAAGACATGCGGCTCAAACAATTATCTCGAGATCAAATATGCATTGAATCAACACCAAAGGGGCCGTGTGGTGCCAGCTCTTCAAGAATTCTCTCATTCCAACTACTATGAAGACTGGAAACGTTTATGCTCCATGTGGGGTCATTGGAGTGCTAAGGAAGATCGGGCTGAACAATGGAACAGGATCTCGATGAAGCTTGGCAATGTCATACTGTGAGTTTTTCGACTTGTTTCTGGAAATGGATTCCGAATGGTTTGATTGTAGCTCGAAACTTGGCCTGGGTGCTTCACACAAAATGGAATACCTGTTGGACACTGAGTGAACAATCATAAATTGTACATAGCATCCGCAATTATATAAATTGTCCATCGCACATCACACACAAAGATGCCTGAACAGAATGAGAGAACCAATTGATTGGATCATCTGAGCTATCCCCAATACCACTAATCGGGGGACTAGTTGAGGTGATTGAAATGAGTTAAACCACGTAAATCAGTGAACCCATCCTAATCATCCCAATCAACTAAAAATTTGAGAAGAAGACCATTGATTTTGTCAATCTGAATCTGGGGACCTGATTGGCGTGATTGGACAGGGATTGACATCCCAATGATCTCAATCGATTCAATCAGCCTCAGAGGTTTCCTGATGCAGGTGTGTTTATATACATGCGGCTTGGGTCACATGAGGTCTGCCACGTCACCCCGCATACAGCCGCAGTCACCTGGGTGTCCCCGTGGGGGATCCTGAGGGTGTATGCTGCATGCATGCGCACTAGGTTGCGCCCTAGAGCCATCTGGGGTCGTCCGGGGCTAGGCATGTCATGTGCGTGTCGCAGGCAGGTCAATAATACACGGATATAAGGGAAAGGTCGTCCGTGTGAAGTAGAAATAGAAATAGGAATAGAAATAGAAGTGGGAGAGGGATAGAGGGGGAAGGGGTATGAAGGAGGGGTGCAGGGTGGGAGAAGGGAATCCGGGTGAGGTGGGCCCGGGTGGAGGCGGGTCAAGCGGGTGTGCCCTGACAAAGGATCAGATACATCAGGAAACCCCCGAGGCCGATTGAAGTGGTTGAGATCATTTCAACCTCACATGATTTACAATCCCTTCAACTGGGTCCCCTGATTGTAATCACACCAATTACAGGGGTGATTGAGCTGATTCAGTGATTGTATGGTTGGTTGTATCGGCACACTATCACATTCTCTCCCACATCGAAGTTTATCAATAAAGTTATTATATTTGAACATTATGTTGCATACATACTTGGGAAAAGAACCCAGATACAAATTATTACAGTAGTACCCAAACACAATGTAATGAAAAATGAAACAGAAGAGGAAAGTGGGTGAAAATACAATGTAATCAAAGAAAGCAGACATGTGCCTCAACTGCTGAACCGTTTGGCACCAAACCCGGCATAAAGGTAGAGCTAGTTATCTTCTATTGAACAAGCCTAAGATCGGAAATGGATGAGTGGTTGTTGAGTACATGTAGTAAGAAGTTGGGGATAGTGTCGCATGTGAGAACTTTGGTTGGAGGTTGGAAATGACATGGAAAAAAACATACAAAAATCATGGGAAGGGAGGGGATGTATCAGAGGGTATTGGGGAAGGGTCAGGCAATCATGGAATGGTGGTGGCTTATGTAAACAAGCACAAGAGGGTGGTTAGGTGGTCAGTTTAGCAACAAACACAGTGAACTGCCATACTTATGACTCAACATACAACACAGGGTAGTTTTGGGTGGCAAACCCACCCTATTCTTTCTTTTTCAAGTAAGGAACATCTGGGGTGGAGTAAAAAACATCGCCTTGTGAATGCAACTGGAAAAAAAAGAAAAAAGAGACATGCATCATCATGTTTGTTCATGCAGTTCCCACAGCTCAGTTTGTTTGGGTATTGTGAGTTGTTAATTTGGTGTTGCATGTGAAGAGAGAGTGTGGTGGAGTAGTGGAGTGCATGAGTTGGAGCAAAGAAAAAACTTCTAAGTTGCAAACCCATTCATTTGAAACTGTACAGCACCTGGATGCAAATGATGGACTCACACACATGGATGTATCCATGTGTGGTTGTGGTTATTGGGATGATTGAGAGTAGTCAATTGGGCAGATTGGGCAGATTGAGTGATTGAATTGCTCTCAACCACTTCAATCAGCCTTGGGGGTTTCCTGAATTTTGATATCAGTGTTTAGTATGACCTCAATGTACAGTACATGGGTGGAATATACAGGCACTTGACCTTCCATTTCCAGTTGAGACCACAACCATCCCTTTTCCCCAGGAGGATGGTCAATGCAGTGCATCAGCAAAAGTCTGTTATGCTCCAGAGCATCAAGAGTGGCTGGAGCATGTGGGAGACAAAACAGCAGATTGGGCACTCCTGGAGCCAATAGTGTTCTCCTGGGAGGGGGTTCAGGAGCAGCTGGGAGTGGTGAGGAGTATGCAATGTGGCAGGAGCGGTGGGAGGAAAATTTGGGTCTCTAAAAAGTTGAAAAAAAATTTAGGGAAAAAATCCAGGAACTATAGTGCCTTTAAAGTGCTTTCAGGACATATAATTATTTGCAAAATTGAGGGGGAAATGATGGAGAAAAACAGAAAATACCCAAGAAATAATGAGAACTGAATTGATGGGAAAGTCTGAAAATTGAATAGGAAAGTGAGGGGAAGCCTTGTAGCATTGCTATTTTCTGCTGTTCTGATTTTTCCTGATTGTTCTTGGTCTCACTCCCAGCTGCTCCTGGACCCTCCCAGGAGCTTTCAGGAGCTTCCAGGAGTATTGAGGAGCAGCTGGGAATGAGACCAAGAAGAATTGGGAAAAATCAGAACAGCAGAAAATAACAATGCTACAAGGGTTCCCCTCACTTTCCTATTCAATTTTCAGACTTTCCCATCAATTCAGTTCTCATTATTTCTTGGGTCTCCGAAAGTATTTTCCATTTTTCTCCATCATTTCTTCCTCAATTTTGCAAATAATTATATATCCTGAAAGTACTTCAAAGGCACTACAGTTCCTGAATTGTTTTTGATTTTTCCCTAATTATTTTTTTCAACATTTTAGAAGTCCCTATTTTTCAAAATTTCCTCATTTCCCTCTATATCCCCCCTCATTCTCCCCCTCATTCTCCCCTCATTCTCCCCCTCATTCTCCCCCTCATTCTCCCCCTCATTCTCCCCTCATTCCCCCCTCATTCTACCCCATTTCTCCTCCATATCTGCAAGCCTGAAAGTGATTAAGTTGCCAGATTAATCATATGTATATCAGGCCATAAATTTTGATTGTATATTGGTGAGTCTCAGTGTCCTTGATACATAGTATAGTGTTTGATCTAAATGTTAAGCAGTGTCTTGTTGTGTTAGTCTTGTGGTAGGAGGAGGTATTCATGGGGGATCTTCCCTCTTTTTTTCATTTTCATTTTCAAATGCTCCAGGAGCTCCCAGAAGCTTCTCACCCCTATACACTTTGAAGCATTTAAATTGTATTTACTGGATATGTTTGTGCACAAAGCAATGCTCCATGCCCTCCTGGGAGTGCCCTGGAGTGCCTGGCCAACTCCAGAGGAAATGAGCTGTTCCTGGACTGGCCAATCTCCTCCTGATTCTCCCAGTGCTCTCCATACTCTGGAGCACACTCAGGAGCATAACAATTTTTTGCTGATGTGGCAAGCCAGTACTTACTGTTGGAAACCACCTTGGCCTATAAGGGGCATTTGGTGTAATGGCAACACACCAGCTTGGACCAATGTGGAGTTCTGTCAGGGTTCAGCACCCTGCCTTAGGGTGCCCCAGACTCCCCACCTACTCTACTCCCTTTATTCTTTGATTGTTGCCTTTGTGTGTTGTGTACATGCACACACAGGATAGTGTGGGAACTTTCTGAGCAAGCAGCTTGCCCAGAATGTTCCCACGGGTCACAGCCACACTTCTGGGCAAGCAACTCACCCAGAATGTTCCCACACTTACTGGGCACTGCCACCTGGATGTTCCCTCCAGGTCACACTACACAACTCTAGGAGCTGTATAGTTGTGGGCATGTGACCCATCCCTTTATATAGCAACCATGTGGGGAGATGAGACCTTTACCCTTCTTCTCATCTCATGCCCTGCCTAGTGTGAGGACAGTGTCATGACCAACAAATCCTGGGGCTCTGTCAGTGTCAGGGTCTGGCCCTCGTTCCATGACAGGGCCAGGGAGATCCTCCTAGTTGCTGGGGTGTCTAGTCCCAGTCCAAGATCCTCAAACTCACTGAGGGGGCTAGCCCCAGCCTTCACAGGAAATGAGTTGAGAAGAAGGGTAACCTTCTCAACCTCCTGTGAAGCCGCTACAAATGGGAGTTGGGAACTATACAGTTTTCGGCTCTTTGCCGACTTTCCATAATTGGCACCCCCCTGTGGGAAGATTCTGGGTGAGCTGCTCACCCAGAAAGTTCCCATGGTTGTGGCTGTGATGGTTTATGGGCGAGTGACTCGCCCAGAACGTTCCCATGGGTCTGCATGCATGCTGGAATGTGGAACAGTGAAGGGAAAAATAGGAGAAAATGGGGGAAGGGCACCTGAGGGTGTGTGGGGTCAGGGGCTGTGCCCTGACAGTCAGCAGCGAACCAGTGCTGACTGAGGAAATGCACAGTAATTGATCTATAAGCACTAGCTCAGTCTCAAGCTATATGCATGAGAACTAAAATTGTATTACCTATAAGCGCTAGCTAAAGGCAATATACATATTAAGTTACAGAGTAAAAGGGATGAGAAATGAAAGGAAGTATTACTGACCTCAGTCTCAAGCTATATGTGCAAGAACTGAGGAAAAAGGAAATAATTCAATGAATGAATGTATCAGTGGCCTGGCACAGATGAGTCCGAAATAGTAGAAAAGGAAGTCTTGTGACTGAGTAGTCACATGGTCCAACTGAGTAGGTCAGACTGTAGGATCTGGGAGAATCTGAATCATGAGCAGCTGTGGGAATGTGGCTGTACAGAATGCTTGCTCTGCTCCCATAGCACATGGTTCTCCAACACTGACAGGTGAATCCACTGACCTGAAACCCTCCTAAACAGCCCCCAACCCGATGTCTGGCCCCCCTGTCCTATTGAATGAGACTTGGTCAACAATCCAACCCTGGACCTTGCCAGCATTCTGACCTTACCTCCAGTTCCCGAGCCCTTGGTGCTCCTGGCATCCAGACCTCTGCCTGCATCTGGACTTCTGCCCACATCTGTACCTCCACCCACCCCTGCACCTCTGATGCTTCTGGTTGCCCCCCACACCCTGTGGTCAGGTCAACACTCCCACTCCCCTCAGGACCTCTGCTGGTCATCATGCTGTCCTTGTGACAGTACTGATGGATCCACCTCTGCTTTGCGGACTCATGTCAGCACTGCACCAACCCCACTTATTTGCGGACTTGTATCAGCACTGCATGCTGACCTCCACTTTTGTCCTCTGGCCATTTTTGCCACTCGGCAGCATACCATTCATTCCTTGCCAAGTGCCTATATTGTTCATCTATTTGTCAGAGTCTGGATTATTGTCGGAGTCGGAATACTGTCAGAGATCTGGAATGCTGTCAGAGACTGGGAATATTGTTAGAGTCTGGCAGACTGTCAGAAGATGGATAGAAGACGGATTGGGTTCTGTCTGAGTTGAGGTCGGAGTTGATGCAGAGGTCTGTTGGAGCGTGTGTGCGGATATGCAGGCGGAAATATGCAGCGCATCCGGAAGTGCTGTTCAAGGTTAGCAGAGTGGGATCGCGGCCTCAGCGACTCAGGTGGAGCGCTGTGCCCTGAGCTTGACGTTTGGGGGAGATCCCGTATTTACGGATTGACACTCACAGCGGACTTGTCATATCCATTCCCGGCCATCGACTTCCGGGCTCTCCGACCCCTCCGTTCTAACTCCGCTCCCCCCTCACCAACCTCGGAGCCCCCGTATTCCGCAAACCTCCCGGTACCCCTCGATGGTCACCACCCCCTCATTTCAATTTATTACCTACGCCTCCCTAAGTATGGAGCCCCGAAGACTTCCGGACAGCTCCGACGTCCGCTAGCGCACTCCCGCCTCCGCTGGGCAATACACTCGCCTGCCCTGCAGAGTCCACCTTCGGGCTTATCCCTCCTTTCCGTTTCTGGGTTAACGCCTGCCTTTCCGCTAACCCCGCGAACCGACTCGTCGGTAATATTCAGTCGGCTATTGTCTTAACCCCGTTAGCTCCACTCCGTCCGGCTCCGCCAATTGCGGAACCGTCTCCGCTGTAACCATATATATACACTACTTGTACATAGGTTACGCCCCAGCAGATAAATCAACTAGAGTTACCCCCACTAGGTTCTAAGCGCCAGTCAGTAAGTTAGGGCACGGACGTGTCACTAGGCACAGCGCTCCTGGCAGAAGTCGCTGAGGCCAAAGCCCTCCGTTACGGAGACATTCCTTCGTCTTAAATCTGGTCTCTGACAGGACTTCAAACAAGACTTGCAGGCGGAGTGGACCTATAGGAGGAGCATGGACTCCGCAAGCATGGACTCAGAGGGGGGGGAAGCCCCCTTTGCAGAAGGAGAGACTCAGACCAGACAGGGGGGGTACTCTAGTTGATTTCAGACTGGGGTCCCCAAAAGTATTTACAAGGTATATAAATAGGCAAGAGGGAATATAGAAAGGCCGGTCAGTCCGGCACGGAGATAAGCGGGGATTGTCAACTAAATAAGGACAAGAGCCCAGGAACTGGAAACGAGGAACAGATCAATAAACAATAAGTGGCAAGGGTTATTGATGAATAACTGAATGAGATCAATAACCTAGTGCCAATAAAGAGGGGATCAAATGCCGATATTGGCAGGGAAGCAAACAATAAATGGCACTTGGCAAGGAATGGATGATAAGCTGCCAAGTGACAAATGGCCAGAGGAAAAGTGGAGGTCAGTGCGTGGCACCGATACAAGTCCACAAATCAGGATGCAGGGTCGGTGCAATGCCGACACAAGTCTGCAAAGGGATGCGGGAATCAGCATGGTGCTGATGAGTCCGCAACAGAGGGTGGTCTGTCAGTGCTGTCACAAAAGGACAGCATGATGGCCAGCAAGATACGGAGGGGAGTGTTGACCTGACCAGAGGTGTCAAGGACAACCAGAAATGGACAGAGGTTACGGAAGGTGCGGAAGCGGTGCATGGTCGATAGAACAGACATCGGGTTGGGGCTGGTAAGGATGGGTTCGGGTCAGCTGAATCGCCTGTCGGCATTGATTTGCCGCTGACAGAGCCCTGGGATTTGTCAGTCGTGTGTCAGGGCACACCCGCCTGACCCGGGTCCACCCGGACCCACCCGGCCACACCACACCCGCTCCCCGCTGTCTATCCCCCTCCCCCTCCTTCCTCCCTCTCCTTCCCCTTTCTTTATTTCTTTCTATCTACATGGACCACCTTCCTTTGTATCGATGTACTATTGACCCATCCGGCCCACACACCCCGGACAGCTTCCTGCTGTGCCCAGCACACGCGCATGCAGTGGACGCTCTCGGGATCCCCCACAGGGACACCCGGATGCCTGCGGCTACCTCTGAGGATGACGTGGCACTTGTCATGTGACTCAAGCCGCATGTACATAAATGTACCTGAAGTGGGAACTGAAGAAGTAACCTTCTTCTCACATTCTCCACTTCAGGTAAGTAGTATAGTTTCCCCCTTTAATAATAATAACACATTCTCCACTTCAGACTAAGTGGCCAGGGACCGCTGTCCTGGATCGGGCCTGCCAGTACACACGCCCGCTCCACACCCCGCGACGGCTTCAGTGCCGGACATTACCCCCGGGCCCTCTCGACCCCGGACGCGTCCCTGACATTGTGACACTATTCATTTGTTTAACTTGCCAATATTGGCACTTGATCTGTGTGCTGATGCACTTCTTATTCATTCACTTAACCTGTCAATATTGGCACTTGATCTGCTTTGCTTTAGTTCATTTCTTGCCTCCCATTTCCCAGGCTCTTGTCGTTCATTCAGTTTGACAATCCCCACTTATTTCCGTGCTGGACTGACTGGTGAAGGAGGGAAAAGCCGGTAGTACCCAGACACTGCTATATCATGGCCTACAGACGATACCTAGGACCCGACACACGATCCCCCACCTCCCCCAAAGCCTATTGAACCTCCCCTATCATCGTTGTATTTTTTGATAATTTTTCAGACCAGGTTACGGCCCACCTGGACATGTTACCAGGCTCCTTTCACAGTATTTTCACCATAACTCCCCCAGCTCTTCTCCGATCCAGACGCATTAGGTATCGTTGGAAAGCTACTGTCAAGACGAGTCGAACAGGTCCACTATCGGGAGATTTGGTGCAGCCGTTGTGGAGATCATCGGAGTTTATCGATTGTGTGGCTGTTCCTATATGTTTTTATGTTTTCTGTTGTTTCCTTTGTTCTATGTTGTTCTGTCCGTTTCTATCCATCCCTAACACCATCGGATTGCTCGGACATTAGCCCAGTATAACTTGGGTTTATATACAAGATGTATCTAGTATGATACAGAGATTCTCCCCTCTGCTCCACTAAGTACTAGGTCCATGTGCCTGGGGTGGTGTCTGAGTGCTTGTAGTCTTGGGGACAGTGCTTTGCAGGCAGTACTGCTAGCTTGTCTTCCAGGGAGGTCCACCTAGTGTGTTGAGATTTTTAGGCTGAGTTAGTTGGCACCAGGGTCACAGTGAGTCCGAAACCCTAGGTGCCCTTTCCACCCCCCCTTCTTCTTTCCCTTTGGTGAGGGAGCAGCTGGAAGAGTGGCAACACGACCCTTGACTGTGGTCTAGTTATTCTCCCCGCTTGCATTTCGCTCTGCAAGCGGGGTAGCGGAGCACACAAGGGGGATCGGGGACTGGATAGGAAATGGATGCACAGCACAGCGGCACACCAACCTACCACCATGATCACCACTACCTCAACTACTTCGCACCACACCTACTCCCACCCAGCAGGATGAGAAACGAAAAAGGGGGCCAGCAAGCAGCTTCCTTGGACAGAATCAAGACTAAACTCAAAACTCAACTGGGACTCGGCGTCCTATAACTCAGTGTGGATCTCCCTGAGGACACTGTGAGGCTTCCTTGCCTCCCTCAAGACTACTGCACTCGACCACGCCTCCAGCACACTTCACTTCATGACCAGATCTAAACATAGTGGAGGGGAATCTCTGTATCAAAATGTAACTAACCAATATTATATACAAACGACCCTGCAAACGCATCTGCAAGCTTCCAGCATGTTCCATATGACTCGTCTGGTCACGTCGCAAGAGAAAATAGAATAGGATACACAATATCACAAGCAACAAAATATAAAACAATAGAAAGTGGCCATGGAAAACCTAACCTGCATCTCCAGTCCAAACCACTCGACAGAACTGCTCTCCCTCTATGTCAACCAACTCGCATAGACTACAGCTATCCAACGCAACAAACCGCATCCAATTTGATGGAGAATTGAGTGAGATAGCATTGAGGTGGGGAATATCCGGCACATTTTCCTAACTTTCCAACCACATGTCACCATGGTCCCAAAATTGGCACATCCTCCCGACCAGTCATATCATGAACAATGGATATTTATCCCCATTTTTATGAAGCCTGAGGGATGCCAGGGACCATCTGTGCACCCCATTTCCCACGTGTGCGCAATGAACATGTGACATGCATTGCGATACACAACTGAAATCTGCATATCTCTGTCAATATCTCACCGATTCTCCTCGCGTAACGTGCGTTGGAATCGCCTCGATATCCTCTACCATTCATACTATAATCTCGTCACCTAATTCCTAGCCAACCTTCCACTGTAGGATTTTCTAACATTTTATCCTGCATGTGAGACCCGATATATTGCCTTTTCTGGGTGTCTGTGACCACCACCCCTACACCGGCCCTTCTATGTTTTTCCTCGTGCCTATCTATATCCTGTAAATACTTTTGGGGACTTCAGTCTGAAATCAACTAGAGTACCCACCATGTTCTGGTCTGAGTCCCTCCTTCTGCAAAGGGGGCTTCCCCCCCTCTGAGTCCATGCTCGCAGAGTCCACACTCCCCCTACAGTTCTGCTCCACCTGCAAGTCTTGTTTGAAGTCCACTGTAAGTGCCAATCTGCAAATACGGGATCTCCCCCAGATGTCAAGCTCAGGGCACAGCGCTCCACTTGAGTTGCTGAGGCCATGATCCCACTCTGCTAACCTTGAACAGCACTTCCAGATGCGCCACTAATTTCTGCCCGCACATCCACATGTGCATGCTCCAACAGACCTCTGCCAACACCTCCGGCCTTGACTCAGACAGAAACCTG